CCCTGTTTTGCGTCTGCACTCGGACAGAGGCGGAGAGTTCTCCTCTGGCCTCCTGACTGCCTACTGTCGTGTGCGAGGCATCCGTCAGACCTTCACGCTTCCGGACTCACCACAGCAGAATGGGATTGCTGAGCGCCGCATTGGCAGGGTCATGGACGTCGCTCGTACGTCCATGATGCATGCGGCTGCTCCCCATTTTCTGTGGCCGTTTGCGGTCAGGTACGCTGCGCACCAGATCAACCTCCACCCCAGGGTCTCTCGACCAGAGACCTCCCCAGCCCTGCTGTGGACGGGGAAGGTTGGCGATGCGTCGGCGTTCCGGGTCTGGGGATCTCGGGCGTTTGTTCGCGACCTGTCTGCGGACAAGCTGTCCCCTCGTGCTTCTCCCTGCGTCTTCCTGGGGTTCCCCCCCGACGCCCCTGGGTGGCAGTTTTACCACCCCACCTCTCGACGTGTTCTGTCCTCCCAGGACGTCACGTTCGACGAGTCGGTACCCTACTACCGCCTCTTCCCCTACCGCACTCCGTCCCTCCCCCCGCCCCCGCTCTTCTTGGTACCAGGCCCCCCCCCGGTCGTCCTCCTCCCCCCTCAGGGTCCTGCCCCTTCAGGTGTGTCCCAGGTAGACGCGGTCGAGCCTGTCGAGGTCACTGGTGACTCTGGTGCTGCTGCGGGAGCTGAGCCTGAGGGTGCGGGGTCTGGGGGTGCTGAGCCTGGAGGTACTGTGCCTGGGGGTGCTGAGCCTGGAGGTGTCGAGCCTGGGGGTGCTGTTCCTGGGGGTGCTGAGCCTGGGGGTGCTGAGCCTGGGGGTGCTGAGCCTGGGGTGCTGTGCCTGGGGTGCTGAGCCTGGGGGTGCTGAGCCTGGGGGTGCTGAGCCTGGGGGTGCTGTGCCTGGGGGTGCTGAGCCTGGGGGTGCTGAGCCTGGGGGTGCTTCGTCTCGCCGGGAGCCACTCTCCCCACAGGAGCTGCGTGAGTGGTTTACCAGGCGCTGGAGGCGTGCTGCTGGTGCTGGTGGTTCTTCGCCTGCAGTGGGTACTGCTGCCGCGTGTCCCGACGGTGCTCGTACTGTGGGTGCTGGAGCTGCTCGGTCTGAGAGTTCTCCTGGAGCTGGTACTACTGAGGGTGTTGGCGCTGAGCCTGCCGCTGGTGGTCCGACTGACAGTGCTCCCGGCGCTGCTGCTGGGGGTTCTGGAGCTTCTGGAGGTGCTGCTGGAGGTGCTGCTGGCGTGGGTGCTCCTGACGGGGGGACTGGTGCTGTTCCTGCTGTTTCTCGTGTTGCCGTGCGGCCTCGACCGTACTTCGTTCCGCTCCTACAGCAGGTTCTTGGTCTTGCACCTCCTCCTGCTTCCTTAGAGGGTCCACAGCCTGTTCGGTCACAGCCACAGCTACAGCCTGCCTCCCCTTTGCCTGCTCCTTCTCCCTACGCTGGTCCGACTGGAGGTCTTACTGAGCGTCGTGAGCCTGCGTCTCGTCCTGCGTCGCCTGTTCGTACTGAGCGCGCTAGTGGTCGCGGGTCGCGTCAGCGTCCTCCTCCTGTCCCTGGCACGCACCGGATGTCACTGCGTCCGTCCACTGCTCCTCTGCGTGCCCCTTTGCCTTCTCCTCCTGCTTCCTCTCTTCCTGCTCTTGCCGACCCGGAGTCGGACTCTCTTCGTGCTGCCAGTCCTACTGTCACGCGTCTCCTTGCTACTGCTGTCACTGACCCTTCCTTTGAGTCGTCTGCTGCGTCTGCCCTTGTCACTGAGCTTGTCGACTTTGCTGCGCGCTGTCGTCTAGACTACGCTGCTCGTCTTGTCGCTGAGTCTGAGTCCGCCTGTCCTCCGTCCTTCGGGGGTGAGTGTGCCCTTGGCACGGACGTCCTAGAGGACAGGCAGGAGGAGTTACAGTGTCTAGCGGCTGCTTCACCTCATCTCGCGTCTGTACTGCTTGCCCCTGAGGGAGACCCGGATGCACTAGACATCCCGACTCCGCGTTCTTACGCGGAGGCCGTAGAGGGTCCCTACTCCTCTCAGTGGCAGGCAGCTATGGATGCAGAGATGGCTTCCTGGAAGTCCACAGGCACCTACGTTGACGCGGTTCCCCCTCCTGGGGCGAACATCGTCAGTGGCATGTGGATCTTCAGGGTGAAGCGGCCGCCGGGCTCCCCGCCTGTCTTCAAGGCGCGTTACGTGGCTCGTGGCTTCAGTCAGCGGCAGGGAGTTGACTACTTTCAGACCTTCTCTCCCACCCCGAAGATGACCACTCTTCGGGTGCTGCTGCACATTGCCGCTCAGCGCGACTACGAGCTTCACTCCCTCGACTTCAGCACTGCGTTCCTGCAGGGTAGCCTGCACGAGGAGATCTGGCTGCGCCGTCCGCCTGGCTTCACTGGGACTTTCCCTCCTGGCACCCAGTGGAGCCTCCGACGGCCAGTCTACGGTCTCCGCCAGGCACCGCGTGAGTGGCACGACACACTGAGGACTACGCTTGCGGCTCTTGGGTTTGCTCCTTCTACTGCTGACCCGTCGCTGTTTCTTCGCACCGACACTTCCCTGCCGCCGTTCTACATCCTCGTGTACGTCGACGACTTGGTCTTTGCCACAGCGGACACTGCTGGACTCGCCTACGTGAAGTCCGAGCTGCTGAAGAGACACACGTGCACAGACCTGGGTGAACTGCGCAGCTACCTTGGCTTGCAGATCACTCGGGACAGAGCACGTCGCACCATTACCCTGACTCAGTCACACATGGTGCAGCAGGTCCTTCAGCGCTTCGGCTTCACGTACCCCTCGCCTCAGGCCACTCCTCTGCCTACTCGCCACTCACTCTCAGCTCTGCCTTCGGATGAGTCCGTAGAGTCGAGTGGTCCGTATGCAGAGCTTGTTGGCTGCCTCATGTACCTGATGACCTGCACACGACCTGACCTTGCATACCCTCTGAGCATTCTTGCACGCTATGTTGCTCCTGGAAGACACAGACCGGAGCACATGGCTGCAGCGAAGAGGGTATTGCGCTACCTGTGCAGTACGTCGGGCATGGGGCTAGTGCTTGGAGGGCGGAGTCCAGTGGTCCTTACCGGCCACGCAGACGCTTCTTGGGCTGACGACCAGGCTACGCAGCGGTCGTCACAGGGTTACACCTTCAGCCTTGGTTCCGGTTCTGTCTCGTGGCGGTCTACTCGCTCGTCTTCGGTTCTTGGCTCCAGTTGTGAGGCTGAGATCTACGCCGGGGCCATGGCTGCACAGGAGCTTCGCTGGCTCACCTACCTGCTGACCGACCTTGGAGAGCCGCCTCGTTCTCCTCCAGTGCTGTACGTAGACAACAAGGCCATGCTGGCCTTGTGTCGAGAGCAGCGCTTGGAGCACAGAACGAAGCACATTGCTCTCCGCTACTTCCTTGCTCGTGAGCTGCAGCAGCGTGGTCAGTTGCGACTTGCTTACGTGGCCTCTGAGGCCAACACTGCTGATGTGTTCACCAAGGCACTTGCGCCTTGTGACCATCAGCGCTTTTGTACCCAGCTGGGTCTTGTACCTGTCTTGCCTCACTTGCTCTCTTCTTGACTTTACTTGTACTTTGTCATATATATACCTGCTCCTGCTTGTCTAGTTTTATATATATGTCTGTACTCCTGCATGTGAACTGGCCTCTGGCCCTGCTCTTGTGCTCGGACTGTGTGGTGACTTTGTGATCCACCCTGAGCTTGCTTTACTTTGCTTTGCTTGACTGGTCTTGTGACCCCTTGTTCTCCCCCACTTTGCCTATGGGGGTGTGTCAGATTATTATAGCTGATGCATGTTTGTAGGCTATAGTGGGGTAGCACATATGGGGTACAGTTTGCTAGGTTTGTATTTGTACCCAACCCTGACTTAGTCAATTCATTCCTGTTCAGTTAGTTTCACAGATTTTTCAGACAAGTCACCTAAAAAAACGCTGACTAATCAGCCTCACTAAAAAATGCAGGCTGATCTATGTTTAAGCACTTTGTTCATTAAGTTTAGCAGGTGCTGTGCTGTGCTGCCCTGGTGGTTGGTGAATGGCGCATAAGGGATGTGATTGGTTAAACAACCAATCACATCAATTGAAGCATTCTGTCGGTGACAACGAAGCAACCGACTCGTCGGGGAAATTCGTTTTCCCGCCGCGTCGGCGCTGTACGTGGCTACCGTACTTTTGCGTGATTGACGGTGGATGTACCTGGACAGCCGAAAAACACGGCTCCGGCACGAATCTGTAATAGCGTGAGTTCAGCCTACACTCTCGTTACAAGTCTGATCAATCAGCGGACACTTGTAAAAAAACGCTGGAAAATCAGCCAATACTTAAAAAAAAAACCTGAAGAATCAGCCAACACAATTAAAAAAAAACTGAATTATCAGCCAACACATCAGCCATATGTCTGAGAAATCAGCGTCCAGACCCTAAATCAGCCTTTTTTCGCTGACTTCTGAGGCCCTGCACTCGAGCAATTATCATCTAATTGTCCGACCACGGTAGCAATTCGACGCCACGTGTGCAACGGCAAATCACCGTTTCCGGGTCTGGAGAAATTCTCTCTGGTATGAACTTGGAAGAAGAATACAGGAAGCACCACTTCCATTATGCAACTCCTTTCAAGCATTCAGCATTGCTATTACAATGCATAATCTGCTCATAAAATCTCAGCACAACCTTAATATGCTCTACGCCCTGACCGTCCCTTTTTCTCGTCTCGATCTTTAAAAAAGGAGAGCAGCAGCAGCACTGACCAGAAACCAAAGCCCCACCAGAACCGGCCACCACCGCCCCCACCTCCTCCACCACCCCCATCGTCATCCCGAGGAGGAAAACCTGTTCCCCCCATGTCAAGCTTCGCCACTGGTGGAGCAGGAGACAGTGGGGACACGAGTGCAACAGGGCAAGAGCACAACGAAAGAGGGTAAGTTGAGTAGATTGGTTGAAGAGTGATTCGTGAGTTTGTAATGGTGGCGATATGGTAGGTAGGAACAGGAGTGATGCAGAGCAGAGCATGTGGCAATGAGGGTAGCTCAAGGAGGGGAGGGGGGGGTGGAGGGGAATAGGTTGGGATTCGAAAGGTGAAGGGGCGGAGGGTGGGGAGGACGGGAAAGAAGAATGAGGGGAGGGTAAACATGGAGACAGGGGGGAATGGAGAGAAAGGTTGAGAGGCGGAGGCGGGGGACACATACACAGGGGAAGGGAGCGACAGGAAGAGGGAGGAGGGAGGCAGATAAATGATCAGGCAGCTTTGGATCAAGGAGGGGGGATGGAGAGAAGAGGATGGACGTAGAAGACGTGAGGGGGGAAGAGGGGAAGATAGGAGGGAGGAAGGGAGAAAGGAAAGGAAGAAGGGAAAGGGGGAGTTGGAACAAAGAAAGGGGGAGACACAGAGGAATGAAGGGAGGAATAAGATGGAGGAAACGGTGGGCGAGAAAACACAGGAGAGAAAAGACGGAGGAAGGGATGAAGCACAACAGGAGGGTATGGACTGGAAAATCGAGAAAAATAACCTCGCCATCATTTCACATACCATATCGAGACCCATTGCTGCTGCTGCATGGCCTGCTGCTGTTGGGATCGCAGCGGCTATGATGACTCAACAAGAGACATTCAATCTGTATTGGCAGCTAATGGTCACAGAGCTCACATCATTGGCAGCCGATCGCAGGGTTCGCTGTTTGTCCAGTTCACTGTAAGAGCGGACTCATTCTGCCGTGCTTCCTGCTGCGATCCCGGCGACCCTGGCAACGACGACGTCTCTCCTCGTGTCCCGTGAGACAGATCAATTGACAGCACCTCAAGATTCAGAATACCTCCCACATTCCACTCACCGTAAGAGCGGACTGATTCTGCTGTGTTTGCTGCTGCGGTCCCAGAAAACCCTGGCAACGACGTCGTCTCTCCTCGTGTCCAGAGAGGCAAAGTCAGTCACAGCACCTCACGACCCAACCAGAAGATTTCCCTACTTCAACACACCGTTAAGAGCCGTCCGGCACTCAGTTCAGCGTAAGAGCGGAGTGACTGCTTCTGCTGTGTGCCCTGCTGCGATCCCAACGACCCTGGCGACGGCGATTACGATTCTCTAATCGATTCTGGACTTACCAATAGGAACGGACTGCCTCTGCTGCCTGGCCTGCTGCGATCCCAATGACCCCGATCACGACGACGCCTCATGTCCCTGGATTCAGATAATTGCACAGTACCCATCACTATGTGATAAATACTTTTCCCATTCTGAGCTCACCGTTGGGAGCCGATTGCTTTTGCTGTGTTGCCTGCTGCGATCCCGACGTTCCCGACGACGACTGTGACTCTCCTCCGCCGCCGGATGACATCTGCGCGTCGCACGCAGCCGCGCGAACAACCAGCGACATCCTCTTGCTTTGTTGCAGAACTGGCGAAGGCCTTGTGCTGTTTTGAAACGCCTGGTGATTCAAGTTTAGCCGCAGGATCGCCGATGGTCTGATGCCGTGTTGAGCTACCGACGATGGGGGAGTGACATTATAGAGCGACGTGCACGCGCACTGTGACGACGAGCTTGTCTGCGACAGTTTCCCGTTTCGTAAAGGCGACAAGGGAACTAGATCGACCGACGGGGATATCGCGAGAGAAAGTGACGGTGGCATGGTTAGCGGTCAGTAGCACACAGCCGAAGCAACGCGTGTCAGACGGGACAGATTATGCAGCATCAACGGTCTATGCTGTGCTGGAGCACGCGGACGCGTGGAATCTACTCAGAACCGTAACGGCTTTCGTTGTGATCAGCAAGGATCAGCCGTCCGATCGAAGGCTATGATGACCTAGGGAGGACTAGTTTTTATGCGAAAACGTCACTGTGATCCTGCGAAGAACCATGAGCGCCGTGCTCCTAGGAAAAATGCAGACACAGGAAAAGCTAAGTGGCATATACGGTACTCACAGCCGTTCTGCTTCACAAAGCGATGGCTCGACAGGGGGGTTCATCGGGTACAAGCATCTATAACATTATGGCCACTACACTCTCCATAACGAGAAACTTTTATTACATAAATTACTACTTCAAGGCAAGAGGAATTGACTGGGAACATAACCAGCTGGGGAAACCAAAGGTGCTTTCATAATCCATATTTAGGTAATCAACTGGGACAACGTCTGCGTACAATACACACAAAACAGGCACCACGTTTCCTATATAGCAGCAGCATCTAATGAACGCAATCTAGAAGCAACCGCAATTCTGGCAAGATTGATGTCCCTCACAACACCCTTGGGCGCCGGCAAGGAGAGAGCAATAATCTGGCGACACATAGGCACATACCTAATCCCCAACCCCCTGTAGTGATTCACCCTTATAATGTTTGTATGTAGATTCAACCCACCGCCTGTACTCCCTATAAGCAGTCCCTGCACGTCGTCAACAGGAATCAGCTTCCCTGTAAAAGCTGACCCACTAAAAGCACCCACACTCGTACTGTTTCCTGTACTGTTGCCATTCTCGTTACTGTTACCCTCTTCCCTGCCGGAAGTGGCCAGAAGGGCAGCGGCAGCTTGAGCAGAGGCAGCAGCAGCAGCGTCAGGGGGGGCATTGGCATCATAGGCGGGCTTGAGCTCGTAGACACGGTGAATCTGCAGCACCTGCGCTGCCCGTGGGTTGACCACGTACTTGCGGTGGCCGTCCCACTTGAGGCATGCGTCACGACTGTGGTAAACAGAGGGGAAAAGGGGGGGATCATAGGCAGGTAGGATTGAGCTCGTACAAGAGGTGGATTTGCAACACCTGTGCTGCCCGAGGATTCACCACGTACTTTCAATGGCTGTCCCACTGGAGACATGCGTCTTGACTGTGATGAATCATGAAAGGAGGGGGAGAGTGCAGAGAGCTGGAGTGGAATGTCCACCTGAAGAACCACCTGAGATACAATCACCTGGAGGGACTCCTGGAGAAGCACTTGGAATAGAGAGGCATATTGTGTTGGAGAGCTCCTTCCGTTACAACTAGTGGTCCACTCACGCAGCTGTTAAATTCACCTGGAGAATCACCTGCGTAGCTAAAGCAGGCGCCCCTGTAATACTTGGTGGCCTCCTTGTAGTGCGCCATGCCACTCACACTTGTGCTGAATTCACCTGAAGAACTACCTGAGCACCAATGCAACCGCACCTGTAGTACTTGGTGGGGTCCTTGCAATGCATACTCACTTTCTGCTGTATTCACCTGAAAAACAACCTGGCAGCAGAAGCAAAGCAAACTCACCTGTAGTACTTGGTGGGCTCCTTGCAGTGCGGCACCGGCTCGCGAAACACCAGCTGCTCCACTGCCCATGGCTCCCACCCCGCCTCCTGTATGGGAAGGGGTTGAGTGGGTTTGACAGGGGTTTACGAAAGGGTTGAATGCGGTAGTGCCTTGGCAGGTGCAGAGGAAGGGGTTGAGTGGGGTTGGCAGGTGCAGAGGAAGGGTTGAATGCGGTAGTGCCTTGGCAGGTGCAGAGGAAGGGGTTGAGTGGGGTTGACAGGTGCAGAGGAAGGTTGAATGCGGTAGTGCCTTGGCAGGTGGAGAGGAAGGGGTTGAGTGGGGTTGGCAGGTGCAAAGGAAGGAGTTGAGTGGGGTTGAGAGGGGTGTAGGAAGGGGGGTTGGCAGGGGCATAAACCCGGGCAGGGGTATAGAAAAGCCACACAGACGGTATAGTATACACACACCTGTATCTTGCCGCAGATGTCGAGGGGGAAGGTGAGGGATCCGAAGGAGAGCCAGGGAATGGCGGGCACTGAGTTGAGAAAGACGAGCAGCGAGTGAGGCGGCTCCACCACGTGAATGTACTCGTCCACGTCCATGAATAGCACCCACCTGTGAGGGAGGGGGTGTATGGTATGTATGGCACTCGTAGCACACACATGGATAGGAGACTGACATGGCTCCACCACGTGAATGCACTCGTCCACGCCCATGAATAGCACCCACCTGATGGGGGAGGAGGGAGGGGCGAAATAGGCATGGATGGGACACATAGCACACACATGGACGGGAGCTCCACCCCTTGCATGCACTCGCCCACGCCCATGAATAGCACCCACCTGATGGGTGGGGGGACATAGAGGGCACGGACGAGCACCCAGCTGACATGGAGGGCACGGACGAGCACCCAGCTGACATGGAGGGCACGGACGAGCACCCAGCTGACATGGAGGGCACGGACGAGCACCCAGCTGACATGGAGGGCACGGACGAGCACCCAGCTGACATGGAGGGCACGGACGAGCACCCAGCTGACATGGAGGGCACGGACGAGCACCCAGCTGACATGGAGGGCACGGACGAGCACCCAGCTGACATGGAGGGCACGGCACGGACGAGCACCCAGCTGACATGGAGGGCACGGACGAGCACCCAGCTGACATGGAGGGCACGGACGAGCACCCAGCTGACATGGAGGGCACGGACGAGCACCCAGCTGACATGGAGGGCACGGCACGGACGAGCACCCAGCTGACATGGAGGGCACGGACGAGCACCCAGCTGACATGGAGGGCACGGACGAGCACCCAGCTGACATGGAGGGCACGGACGAGCACCCAGCTGACATGGAGGGCACGGACGAGCACCCAGCTGACATGGAGGGCACGGACGAGCACCCAGCTGACATGGAGGGCACGGACGAGCACCCAGCTGACATGGAGGGCACGGACGAGCACCCAGCTGACATGGAGGGCACGGACGAGCACCCAGCTGACATGGAGGGCACGGCACGGACGAGCACCCAGCTGACATGGAGGGCACGGACGAGCACCCAGCTGACATGGAGGGCACGGACGAGCACCCAGCTGACATGGAGGGCACGGACGAGCACCCAGCTGACATGGAGGGCACGGACGAGCACCCAGCTGACATGGAGGGCACGGACGAGCACCCAGCTGACATGGAGGGCACGGCACGGACGAGCACCCAGCTGACATGGAGGGCACGGACGAGCACCCAGCTGACATGGAGGGCACGGACGAGCACCCAGCTGACATGGAGGGCACGGCACGGACGAGCACCCAGCTGACATGGAGGGCACGGACGAGCACCCAGCTGACATAGAGGGCACGGACGAGCACCCAGCTGACATGGAGGGCACGGACGAGCACCCAGCTGACATGGAGGGCACGGACGAGCACCCAGCTGACATGGAGGGCACGGACGAGCACCCAGCTGACATGGAGGGCACGGACGAGCACCCAGCTGACATGGAGGGCACGGACGAGCACCCAGCTGACATGGAGGGCACGGCACGGACGAGCACCCAGCTGACATGGAGGGCACGGACGAGCACCCAGCTGACATGGAGGGCACGGACGAGCACCCAGCTGACATGGAGGGCACGGACGAGCACCCAGCTGACATGGAGGGCACGGCACGGACGAGCACCCAGCTGACATGGAGGGCACGGACGAGCACCCAGCTGACATGGAGGGCACGGACGAGCACCCAGCTGACATGGAGGGCACGGCACGGACGAGCACCCAGCTGACATGGAGGGCACGGCGCGGACGAGCACCCAGCTGACATGGAGGGCACGGACGAGCACCCAGCTGACATGGAGGGCACGGACGAGCACCCAGCTGACATGGAGGGCACGGACGAGCACCCAGCTGACATGGAATGCGATGCCTATAGAAGGCACACGGTAGGCGCATGGATGGCAGATACTTGAGTGTGGTGACCCCACCACGTGCATGCACTCTTGCACGTCCATGAATAGCACCCATCTAGTGGGTGGGGGGAAGGGAGGGGATATGGAACACATGGTGTGGTGCGAGTGCCATCGCTGGAGTGGGGCAGCTCCATCACGTGCATGCACTCTTGCACGTCCATGAATAGCACCCACCTGATGGGTGGGGAAACGTGGACCTCATTGCAATTTGCAAGACATGTGTGAGCGAGACATATGCGAGACACATGCGAGACACATGCATGGAATCCACATGAATGGGTGAATGTACTCGTCCAAGTACATGATGAAAATCCGTCTGGTGGGGGAGATACGGCACGCAGGGCATTCATGGAACACACATGGGACGCATGTGGAGGACACGTGGATGGGTGGCTTGTGTGCATGTGGCTCCACCACGTGAATGCGCTGGAAAGCAATTGAGCTGAAATCTGAATACTTAGCAAGTTAAGTTTACCGACAATTTTATCCTCACAGCGATGGATCGGTGGGACGCTAGACAGAGAGGATGCGAGGGGGGATGAGGGAGGGGGTGAGAGAGGGCGAGAGAGAGGGTGAGAGAGAGGGTGAGATAGAGGGTGAGAGAGAGGGTGAGGGAGAGGGTGAGAGAGAGGGTGAGAGAGAGGGTGAAAGAGAGGGTGAAGGAGAGGGTGAGGGAGAGGGTGAGGGAGAGAAAGGGCGACGGAAGTTACCGGGTGAGTTGTCGAGACCTGAGAGCACAGTCGTTCACCATGAGAACCTGCCATTGCGCACAAGGGGAGGGTGGGCGGACGCAGGGCAGGAGGAACAAGTGTGCGAGCGCCTGTGAGGGAGCATGGGTAGGGCAAGGGAGGACTGCGTCCGCCCACCCTCCGCAGGTAAGGGCAGGGCGCGGGCTGTTTCTGTATTGTGCGATGGACGACACTCACATCGGTGATCGAGTTACGCACAAGCATGGGGTGATGTATTAGATGGTATGCTTGTGAGTCGGATGAGAGATGATGTGATGATGGCCAACCCCCCCTTTCCCCCCATTTTCCTCCTTTCCCCATTTACCCCTTTCCCCCCCTTTTCCTCCTTTCCCCATTTACCCCTTTTCCCCCCACACACCAACATGCGCATAGGTCCACGTGTCATAGAGCGCTGGTCCTCTGATATCAGTGATATCCGTGATGCCCGCCCTGCGATAGGGCGTCCAAGAGTGCCGTCATGGTTATGTGTGCCCACCCCCCCCCCCCCCCCCCCCCCCCCCCCCCCCCCCCCCCCCCCCCCCCCCGCACACACACACACACACACACACACACACACACACACACACACGCACGCGCGTGCGCGCGCACGCACGCACGCGCGCGCACACACACACACACACACACCTCGCCCCCCCCATCTCAACTCAGCCTTACCCACCTGCGCATAGCTCCATGTGTCATAGAGTGCTGCCCCTCTGATGTCGGTGATATCCATGATGCCCGCCCTCAGGTACGGCCTCAGAGCTGCCATGACGTCATCATCCATGGCCCCTGCATCGTACATGCGTAGATACTGGGGGGCATGGGTGCATGGGGGCATGGGGGCATGGTGCAGAAGGTAACTTATCTAGTACATCTGATGCCCACTATCATCCATGCCCCCTGCATCGTACATGCGCAGGTACTGTAAGGGGGGTGCATGGATGGATGCAGGGAGGCAGGGAGGCAGGGAGAGATGCACTCACATCCACTCCAGCAGCATACTCGTGTGCATGCTGCAGTCATGAGCATCTCATCTCATGTGCATGCCATGCGTACACGTGCTTGCACTGCACTCTCGCCACTCACATCCATGCCATGAACAGAGCTTCAATCCACTCCAGCAGCCTCTGCGTGTCGATCACCCCGAACAAGCAGTCATGTGCATGCCATGCCATGCCATGCCATGTTGTAATTGTCCACTATATACAACATTCATAGGCTAGAATAGGTGTAGTCCTTCAGTTTCTTGGGGGGTTGGGTGTACACTCCAACCACACTTTGTGGTTGGTCAAGATTGGATTTGGTCAAGATTGGATTTGGTCTTGGCCCTTGGTTGGCACTTGCCAACTTTTGGTCCTTAGACCAACCAATCCCAACCTAGCCACACTGTGAGGTTGCCTACTCCACAAGGCACCTCACCCATTGGCCAACTTAGTGGCCAATAGGGTTAGCTCCTCCTCCAACCTTCTCTTCCTTGCATGCTTGTATTATAGAGCCTTGTTGGCTCATTACCAATCATACTCATGAATTCTATCATGGTATCCAGAGCCAAATGGCTCACGCCGTCCTCTCTCGATCCTTAGACTGATTTTTACTCCCCGCTCCTCTACCCTAGCGGATTATGACATATATCCGCCCTCCCGCACCTCAGATCTAGCCTTCCGCGGCTCAGTACCGCCCTCCCGCACCTCAGATCTAGCCTTTCGCGGCTCAGATCTACTCCTCCGCGGCCTCAATCCTCCCTCCCGCGGCCTCAATCCTCCCTCCCGCGGCCTAAATCCTCCCTCCCGCGGCCTCAATCCTCCCTCCCGCGGCCTAAATCCTTCCTCCCGCGACCCTAATCCTCCTTCCCACGGCTCTGCCCGCCGTCGCGGACGACCGACGCGCCGTCGCGGATGACCGACGCGCCGACGCGGGCGGTCAGCGCGCGGCCACCAGCGACCTACGCGCCGACGCGGACGGTCAGCGCGCTGTCGCCAGCGACCTGCGCGCCGACGCAGCCGGCCAGCGCGCAACCGCCGACGACCCGCGCGCTGACGCGGACGGCCAGCGCGTGACCGCCGACAACCCGCGCGCTGACGCGGACGGCCAGCGCGCAACCGCCCGAGCCGCGCGCTTACGAAGACGGCCAGCCAGCGTGCGACCGCCGACGAGCCGCGCTCTGACGCGGACGGCCAGCGCGCGGCCGCCGACGACCCTGCGCCGACGCGGACGGCTGGCGCGGAGCCGCGGTTGACCTGCGCGCCGTCGCGTTCGGCTGCCCGCGACCTCCATGACCCCACAACCCTAATCCTCCCTCCTCCCCCTGTCCTGCCCCACACCCGCGCCCCTCCACACACTTCCGCACTAGCCTCTCTCCCCCCCCCTACCTCCTCCCCCTACTCCACCCTTAACGACACCAGCAGTGGCAGCAACGGCGGCACCTGCACCGGCATCGACGGCGGCAGCAGCAGCGGCTCCAGCGGCGGCTCCAGCAGCAGCACCGGCAGCGGCAGCAGCGGCGGCAGGAGCAGCAGCATCGGCGGCGGCAGCAGCAGCAGCATCGGCGACGGCAGCAGCATCGGCGGCGGCAGCAGCAGCGGCACCAGCACCGGCAGCAGCGGCATCAGCAGCGGCGCCTCCACCACTCCGCCGTCATGGCGTCGTCGGACTCATCGGTCGATCTAGCGACCATTGACGCTCTCGAGCTGCTGGGCGACAACTCGGCCGCCAACTGGCACTCCTATGCTCATTCCGTCGAGGTGTTGCTCTCCTCGGTCATCGTCAACGGATATACCCTTCGCTCCATCGTGTTCCTGGAGGAGGGTGGACTCCAGCCCATCGCTCCTTCCGCCCCCACTGGACCTGCTCCCGATGAGCCCGGACCCGAACCCGAGCCTCCTGGTGATCCCCCCTCCTTCGCGAAAGATGTTCACAACCTACAAAGCGTGGAGTCTGCCATTCGTGCCTATCGTACCTCACTCAACGACCACCTTCGCCGCCAACTGCGCTAGGACAATGACAAGCGCATCTACGACAGTGCTGCTGCCCGCCACCGTAAATACCAAGCCCAGTTCGCCACTTACACTACCCGCCTCACCATCTACACCACTGATATCGCAGCGTGGCGCGTTGCTGATCGTCGCGCCCTCGCTATCCTCCTCCCTCAAACAAGAGCTCCCCCCCACCTCCTCCTCCCTCCCACCTGTGGCAACTGTTAGTCGGCCTCTTTGGCCGACAGGACATCGCCACTCTCTATGCACTCATTAAGGAATTCGGATCCATCACCATGGACTCCACCACCGGTGCAGCTGCCTTTACTCGTCGAGTCCTTGACCTCGCTCGCCGCCTTGCAGTGCTCGGTGTTGTCTACCCTGACACCGTCATCTGCTGCCACCTTCTCGAGGGTCTCACTCCTGCCTTCGATGCCCATAAGCTGGCATACATGCAGCTCCTCTCCAAGCATGACACTCCCGCTCAAGTTGCGCAATGGATCATCACCACTGAAGCTGAAATCCTGCGCCACTCCTCCTCCACTGCCGCAGCAGCACAGCAGCGCAGCAGCAAAGGGGGGCGTGGGGGGGGGCGTGGAGGTGGGCGTGGTGGTGGTCGAGGCGGCTCTGGCGGTCGTGGTGGTGCGGGTCGTGGTGCAGTGGCGGCCTTCCCACCCTGTCAGTATCTTCCCCTCTATGGCCCCACCCGAGGCCAACGCTGCAATCAAACCACTCATGCGACTGAGACGTGCTTCAAGGGACTCAGCGATGAGTGGTTCGCTCGTGGGAACTCTGGCACCCCTCCTCGCTGGTCCGCCCTCAACCCCCGCCCCACTCCCCTGGATGTCCGCACCTCTCCCCTCTACGCCCATTCCTCCTCCTCCCAGGCCCACCAGGCCTTTGCTCTCCCCTCCCAACAGCAGCAGCAGCAGCAGCAACAGCAGCACCAACACCAGATTGTCAAGCAGCAGGGGCCGCAGCAGTACGGGCAGCAGCTTCAACAGCTCCAGCAGCAGTTCCAACAGCTCCAACAGCAGCTCGACCTCCAGCCCCAGCTTCCTCCTCCTCCTCCTGTCCCCCAGCAGCAGCTGTTTCCCAGCTGGACCGCCGAGAATGCGGCCTTCGCGGCCCACCTTTCCGGTCCATCCCCTGCGCCGTCTACAGGTGGTAGTGTCACTCCCTTTCCCTCCTCTGGCTTTGTTGGTTTGCTTAGTCAGCCTCCTTCTGTTTCATCCCCCATGTATGCCCTTGCTATTAATGAAACTTCAATCCAGTACTCCGCCTCACCTTCCTCCACCCTTGAGTTCGTCTTGGACAGTGGAGCCACTGACAATGTCTTTCGAGATGCCGGCACACTCCATCCTCTCCCCACACCCACGTCCCTCCTCGGCGCTGATAGCAGCTTTTCCATCCCCTGTCACAACACGTCCACCCTTCCATGTCCTCTCTTTCCCTCAGGTACCGTCACAGGTCTTCACAGTCCCTCCCTTCGCACCAACCTCCTCTCCCAAAGGTCCCTCCAACAATCCATGATCACCACTGTCACCCCAGGTGGTGCTAACCATTGTGACCTTTACCAAACCTCCATAGGTCGCTTCCTCTCTCGCATTCCCTACTGTCCCCGCTCCCGTCTGTACACCCTTCGGGTTCCCCGCCCCCTCACCTTCCAAGTTGCCTCCCCTCCCCTCCTCCCTCCCCCTCCTCCCCTCCCTCCCACTAACCCACCCGTCCCCCCTCGCCCCCCTGACTCTGACTACACATGTCGCTCCCTCTCTCACCTTGCCATCCTCCTCCCTTGCCATCCTCTCTCTCTGTCGCTACTCTGCGCTCCTCTGTCTCCTCCGGTCTCCTCCACGGTCTCCCATCCTCCCTCCCTCCCCTACCCAAATCCCCTGCCCCCCCTTGCGCCGTCTGTGTTCAGAGCAAGCTCAAGCAGCAGCCGCACTGGAGCTCCCCCTCCGCTGCTGCCCAGCCACTTGACCTTGTTCACATGGATCTCTGGGGCCCTAATCCCTCTCCCACTCGCCAGGGCCATCGCTACCTTCTCGTGCTCGTTGATGATCACAGTAGTCACTCATCCGTCTCTCTTCTTCGAACGAAGGCGGACGCCCAGACTGCGATCATTGCCTGGCTCGAACAAGCGAACACCCATTTTGGGCGCCCTGTTCGCCGCCTCCACTCTGATGGTGGTGGTGAGTTCCTTAACAACCAAATCTCCTCCTATTGCCAATCCCGCGGCATTCTTCAGACTTACACCCTCGCACACTCCCCACAGCAGAACGGTGTCGCTGAGAGCCGTGTTCGGGAGATCACCAAAACTGCTCGGTGTCTTCTTGTCCACGCCTCATGCCCCCCTTCTCTGTGGGGCTATGCCCTCCTTCATGCCGCCCTCTTTACTAACCTTTACCCTCACCCCCTCCTCCCCTCCACCACCCCCACTGAGCTATGGACCAAGGACAAACCCGATGTCTCCCCTCTTCGAGTCTGGGGCTCAAAGGCATATGTCCTCATTCACCCGTCTGACCGATCACGTTCCCTGGGAAAGCTAGCCCCTCGTACCCTTCCATGCATCTTCCTTGGTCATAACCCCTCTTCCCCCGATTATCTTTTCCTCCACCCCCCTTCCGGTCGACTAATTCGCAGCAGAGATGTCGTCTTCGACGAATCCACCCCGTACTATTCCTCTCTTTCGTCCACTAACCCACTCCCACCTCTGACTCGTCCCCTTGTCTGGTCTGACACCACCCTCCCCCTCTCCTCCCTCCTCCCCCCATCCTCCCACCCCCTCCCCTTCCGCCCTCCCAGTCCCACGGTGCCCCCCTCTCGTCTGGTGACATCTTTGACCCGGACCCCCTGTCTCCCCCGCTCACTCCTCCCCTGGTGCCCCTCCTCCCCCTCCCTCCCAACCCTCACCTCCCTCCCCCACTCCTCGCACCATACTCACCCGGTATCCTCACACCAGGTCACGTGACAGTATCCTTGGTGCACCGCCCCCTGTTACCCTCTCTAGCTCTACCCTCCCTCCTCTTTCCCCCCTCCTTCACCACTTCTTCCAGGTTGTCTTGCATCCAGCCCCCTCAACCACCTCTCCAGCAGCAGCAGCAACAGCTCCAGCTGCAGCCACCGCAGCGGCACCATCAGCGGCGAGTGCAGCGGCATCGGCAGCGGCACCAGCAGCGGCATCCGCACCAGCACCAGCAGCGGCACCAGCAGCGGCACCAGCAACGGCACCAGCAGCGGCACCAGCAGCAGCACCAGCAGCGGCACCCGCGGTCATCCGCGCCTTCCACACCTCCCTCTCTGAGGACTCCCATGAGGAGTTCCTTGACCTCCACCTCTCTGACCGCTCCCTCCTTCCCATCACCTTTGACCTCTCTGGAACACCAGTCTTCGCCTTTTCCTCTGCTCCCTCCACCTTCATCCCAACCATGTATGAGGAAGCCATGGCTTGTCCCGACGCACCGCTCTGGCTCGCTGCCATCATCAAGGAGCTCGAGGCATTTATTGCCAACTCCTCCTTCGTTAATGTGCCTCGCCCTCCCTCCTCTACGAACGTGGTAAAGGGGAAGTGGGTGTTTCGTGTCAAACAGCTACCAGGAGAGCCGCCCATCTACAAGGCCGGGTATTGCGCCAAGGGCTTCACGCAGCGGTATGGCTTTGACTTCTTCGACACCTTCTCCCCCACCGCCAAACCTGCTACCATTCGCGCCGTACTCGACCTCGCCGCTCGCCTCAACATGGAGATCCACTCGATGGATGTCTCCAACGCCTTCCTACAAGGCGTGCTACGCGAATTGATCTACATGGAGCGCCCAGCGGGCTTCCACCTCCCCTTCCCCGCCGACTCCGTCTGGCAGCTGCGCCGACCAGTGTACGGGCTCCGCCGGGCACCCCGGGAATGGCATGCCAAGCTTGCTGCCACCCTTGCCGAGCTTGGGTTTCACACCTCCCGCTCTGACGTCAGCCTCTTCCTCCGCACCTCCCCCTCCCCCTTCTCTATCCTCGTCTATGTTGACGATATGATTCTCCTCACTGCCGATCTTGCCGAGCTCGAGAAAGTCAAGGCCGAGCTGGGCACCCGGCTCAAGTGCGAAGACTTGGGAGAGCTGCAACACTACCTCGGCATGACCATCACTCGCGACTGCTCCGCCCGCACCATCTCCCTCTCTCAGGGTCACTATCTCCAGCAAGTCTTGGACCGGTTTGAAATGGCGCGCAGTAGCCCCCAGCCCACTCCACTCTCAGTTGGGCACCACCTCTCCCCACCCTCCTCACCCTCTGCCTCCTCCCATCCTTATCCTGAACTCGTCGGCTCTCTCATGTACGCCATGGTTTCCACTCGCCCTGACCTTGCCTACTCCATCAGCGTCCTCGCTCGCTTCGTTGGCGCTGGCAAGCACACAGAGGACCACTGGCAGGCCGCCAAACGCGTCCTTCGCTACATTCATGGCACAAAGGACTATGTCCTTACCCTTGGCGGCCCCTCCCAACCCCTCCTCAATGGCTACAGTGATTCTTCCTGGGCTGACTCTCGCCCGGACAGGCGGTCCTCTCAGGGATATGGCTTCTCTCTGGGCAGCGGTCTCATCAGCTGGCGGTCCACACGCTCCTCTGCCGTCGCCCTCTCCTCCTGCGAAGCAGAGCTGTACGCTGCAACCATGGCTGCGCAGGAGGCGCGCTAGCTCACCTTCCTCCTCGATGAGCTTGGTGCACCCCAGCGCTGTCCCACAATCTGGTGTGACAATGCCGGCACCATTCACCTCACTAAGGATGTTGTGTATCATGGGCGTTCCAAACACATTGAACTTCGCTACTTCTTCATTCGTGATCTCGTCGAGGCCAGGCACCTTCGCCTTGGCAAGATCGACTCGGCGGCCAACCTCGCTGACATCTTCACTAAAGCTCTTCCCCAAGCATCTCACTCCTTCCTTCTGCGTCTCTTTGGCCTCACCCCTCCTCCAGTTGTGACAGCCTCCTGATAACATCTTCTAGCCTTATGCATGTTGGGGGGTTGTGTTGTAATTGTCCACTATATACAACATTTATAGGCTAGAATAGGTGTAGTCCTTCAGTTTCTTGGGGGGTTGGGTGTACACTCCAACCACACTTTGTGGTTGGTCAATATTAGATTTGGTCTTGGCCCTTGGTTGGCACTTGCCAACTTTTGGTCCTTAGACCAACCAATCCCAACCTAGCCACATTGTGAGGTTGCCTACTCCACAAGGCACCTCACCCATTGGCCAACTTAGTGGCCAATAGGGTTAGCTCCTCCTCCAACCTTCTCTTCCTTGCATGCTTGTATTATAGAGCCTTGTTGGCTCATTACCAATCATACTCTTGAATTCTATCATGCCACGCCATGCCATGCCACGCCATGCACACACATGCTCACTCACATCCACACCGTGAACTGATCGGTGGAATTCAATCCCACTCCAGCAGCCGCTGCGAGTCACGCGATCAATCACGGATATCTGCTGCTCATGTGCAACGCACACTATGCATGTCATATCATGCCATGCCATGTGTCACCATGTGCACTTATGCTTACTCACATCAACACCGTGAACCGATCTATGAAACTCGATCCACTCCAGCAGCCGCTGCGTGTCAATCACCCCAAACATGGGCGCGGAGCAGTACGTTAGGTTGCGCTCAAACATCCGCACGTCCTCCCGAACCTCCGGCGGAGGCTCGGGCGTGCCGGGGCTCTCCTTGTAAACGACCAGGTCCTGCTGGTCCACCGCCATCTTGAGTGTGCCGCCCACCCTGACGAGGAAAAGGTTGATTGAGGCGAGGAAGAGGGAATACACACACCTATATTGACTGGATCGTCCACACACACAGGAGTAGACAACACAAACCAACTCAGGCTGCAGGCACCTATATTGAGTGGATCGTCAATGCAAGCAGTGCAACCCAAGCAGTAGTATTTGCTGGTGTAGTCCCTGCAAGCAGTGCAACCCAACTCACACACACGGAGCTCTCACTGGTCGCTGCAGGTTGCAGAAAGGCAGAACACTCTTGTGGGCGTGTACGTGAGGTGCTTCCCTTGGCAATGCGGTTGGCATGGCATGGCACTGAGGGCCCCTCAGTGAGGGGGGAGGCAGATCTACTGAACTCACATAGAGCTGACAGGTCGCTGCAGGTCGCAGTATAGAAGCACGCACTCGTACGCGCGTGCATGGTGCTCCCCGGGGAACTTCACTGAGATGGCGCCATCTGTCCACTGCCCATTGGCTGACTCCCACCTGTGGAGGAGGGGAGGGCGAGGGGGAAAAGAAGGGAGGAGGGAAAAGAAGGGAGGAGGGAAAAAAAGGGGGTGGAAGTGGGGGGAGAGAGGAGGAGGAGGAGGAGGAGGGGGGGGGAGGAGGAGGAGGAGGAGGAGGAGGAGGAGGAGGAGGAGGAGGAGGAGGAGGAGGAGGAGGAGGAGGAGGAGGCGTAAGAGAAGGAAAAAAAAGGGTGAGAGAAGGGAGGGGATGGAGAGGAGGGGGGTAAGGGGCCAAGGTTACAAATGTGCACATGTTTGGACACACTTTCGTGATGCATTGCTCTGATTTCCACGCATGCACACACACACACACACACACACACATGCACACATACACACACACACTCATGGACACACACACACACACACACACACACACTCATGCACACATACTCACAGACGCACTTTCCACACACTCCCACTCACGCACGCACATTCACACACACGAGCAATGCAGAACAGGGATGACGTCACGGTGCTCTTGAGAATCATACAATGAGCTCGGAACCACAAAAGAAACATGCATGTATGCACACGGCATGTCAAATGAGGGTTTTTTGAGACGTCTCAAAAACACAAAAATTACATACATGTATGCACGCGGCATGCCTGGCCTCACCAGCAGTGCTGGGCAGTGATGACGTCATGGTGTGTGAGCGGCATGAGGCCCATGGCGACCACGCGGAGAGGGGTGATGCGGTACGCGCTGAACTGGATGAAGCCCTCCTTGCTGCTGCTGCCATCAAAACTGCGAGGGGGAAAGCACAGGCACACGGACAAATCAGCGATGGAAGCATGCACAGGACAGGTATAGCTCAGAGGACAAGGAGGGGCGTGATGCGGTAGGCGCTGAACTGAATGAATCTCTCCTTTCCTTGCTGCTGCTGCCGTCGAAGGTGGGAGGGGGAAAGCCATGAAATGCACGTGTGCGTGCATGCACAGGCAAAAGGCAGAGATTTGGGAGAGGTACATTGCTGTGTGTGCACAGGCACACAGGGCACAGACGTGAGCTGCAGTCAGTGCAATGACATGCAAGCCACACTCATGTGAGAGGTGTTCCATTGTGTGCGCTACACTATATCAACTCCCTGACGGATACGTTTAGCGCGGCCCGCCCACCACGCCACTCGCTTCCGTATCCGCGTCTCGAGCTCGCCCGGAGAGCAGCTTATGCGCCACTCGTGTCAATCAGTCGACTCACAGGTCTCGTTGACTCAATAGGCCACCACTCACTTTTGTTTCCGCATCTCCAGCATTTCAATCTCCGCCGGAGTGAGCTTGTGCGCGGCTACCCGCGGATGCCTCCTCCCCTCGCCACCGCTTCCCCCCCTCTCCCTCCCGCGACCCCCGCTGCCTAGGCCGCCGCCGCCGCCTTTCCCCGCGCGGGAGAGCAGCGGCACGGAGGGCGCTTCGTCGAGCAACACGAAGCAGATGAAGATGTTACTCACGACGACGACGAAAAGCACCATGGTCGTCGTCGATATTCGCCGCGGCAGGATCGCGAAAGCCATGACGGAAATGAGAGCGCTGCGGATGTTATGAGATTGCGTAATGCTGGTGAGAACTAGGTGCGCGACTATTGCCGCAGGTACGGAAACCCTAAAGTGTGTAGCAGCCCTCCAGTGTGTAGGGGCTGCGTCACCAAGTAGTATCCTACCTAGTCTATTTACTTGCGTTGTGAATGCGAGCCTTGCATTGAGGGTACGACAGGGCCGACTGGTGAGGGATTCCTGGTTTGGTTGGAAGAGTTAGTTATTCAATGGTTGTTGTAATGGAGCATAATTCATTAGTGTAGGCTCACATTATCAGGGACATTCCGAGGGTCTCGCCTCACTGGTGCTCGGCCTACAATTTCGCCCCGAACCACTTCCGAGGCGCCACCGCACCTTTTGCCACATTTCCGAGCCTCGTCTAGCCCGAGGCCCTCGCCTAGCTCGTTCGTGCCTACACTCCCCTCGTTTTAGGCATTTCATACAACATTCTGTAGTTTCGACTTTGGGTGCATTTCATCTCGTTCGAAACCCACTTATTCATAACACTTGGTATTCACGGTTCTTTCCCAGGCCATTAGCTTCTGCCCAGCGCCCAAAATTGGTCTAGGCCCACCCTGTCTAACCAGAGTTGAACCCCGTCTCACCCTGACTCCCTAGGGTAATTTTTCTGCTAGGCTGACAAATACGATGTATTTTTTTTCTAGCCTGATAGCGTTAGTGTAACTTTTTTCAAAGACTGATTTGCAGGGTGAAATCTATGTTACACTGACTGTCCAATACAGCGAACGCTGACATCGTGGTAGAGCTTGTGGAGTTGTTGCAGCCATCGTTTGAAGGCAGCCAGGTGCTTGTCATCGTCTGGAAGGTATGAAGTTCTATCAAACAGCTTCGGGCCTTCCAGGTTCGCGAAGTCTCGATACCGCCACTCCAGCTCCTTGCCGACTGCGCGCACGAAGTTCAGCGATAGTTCGTAGAAGGCAGTCACATCGCCCTCAATTTCTTGCCCATAAAGGTTACGCTCGTGCAGGTCGCAGACGAAGGAGACTGGATTTCCGTCAAAATCAACCCACGGTCAGTGCTCACACCGTGGCTACCGGGCGCAGAGCCCCGGACTACTCAGGCTACAGGGGGTCGTGGCTCTCTGGACTTCAGGCGCTGCGGACGACAAGTCGGATACCTCCGGTCAACCTCCCCCAACTGTCCCACACCCCTTTCACATACTCCCTGCTGCACCTCTAGCACTACTCACACGCCACCCCCCTCGTACCACTCCGACGGCTCCAATACATCCACCCCCCTCAGCGGCAGGTGCAGCACTGGGAGACGGAGGAGGAGGAGGAGCAGGGGACGGCTCACATACCAGGCACCCCCATACTCTCCACCCCCAAACCCTAACACAGGAGCGCGGGCAGCATCAGGGGTGGGGCGCAGTCAGAAGCTAGGGACAAACCGCGCGCGGGCTGCCTGGGCCGCGCGCAGGCCTGGTGCAGCCCATACGGGCCGCGCGCGGGCCTGGCGCAGCCCATACGGGTCGCGCGCGGGCCTGGCGCAGCCCGTACGGGCCGCGCGCGGGCCTGGCGCAGGTCGCGCGGGCTGCGTCGGGCGACGGGGGGCGACGCGCGGGTCACCGGGGCAGGAAACCGCGGCACGCTCCCCGGGCGCGCGGCGGGCAGGGCAGGCGCGCGGCGGGAAGAAAAATGCTGCGCGCTCCGAGCGCACTGCAGGAAGAAAAACGGTGCGCGCCCGGGGCGCGCTACAGGGAATAGAGCAGCGGAAGCATCGGGTGGGGCCCACCCACAGGATCGACCCAGGAGGGTCGACCTGCTCTGATACCATGTCGAATCAAGTGGCAGGAATGAGAAACAGAAAAGAGGAGTTTTCACTAGCATGCAGTTCAGTACATATAGCAAACCCTAATTCGGGCTGTACTCGCTATAGAGTACCCCACTGCAAGCTACACAAGCATCACATTCTGACAGGTACTTTGCTGTTTGACCTCGCTTTTGGCGCCTCGCCCGCCCCTGACGCCACAGCTGACAGTGCGACCCGCTGACAGTGGCTTACCCGTGACGCTGCTGCTCGCCTAGCCGTTCGCAACCACCTGCCGTTAGCCGAACGCGCCCACTTTGGCCAGCATAAGACAGCTAAAGCACAGTACGACGCTGTAGTCACTCGTTACTCCTCCCCGGCCACTGCTGCTCTAGGCCGCCTTCTCCTGCCCTACCTATTCCCAGACCTGTCCGCCTTTGACACAGTAGCCAACCTAGTCACTCACCTCCGCACTAGTGACACTCGCTACCGTGCTGCGCTCCCCGCCGAGTTTCTCACCAAGAACACCCCCCCCCCATGTATATCACGCTCTACTTCATAGTCACCCGCCTTCCAGACTCTCTTACTGCATTCAAAGACCTCCTCCTAGCACTTGACCCCACCGACCTCACTATCGACCTACGCGAGAAGCACCTGTCAGAACATTATAGCTTATGCTTTTGTGTAGGCTGTAGTGGGGTAGCCCATAAGGGGTACAACCCAATTAGGGTTAGTACATGTACCCAACTGTTTCGTAGTTCATTCATTCTTGTTTCAGTTTTCTCATGGTATCAGAGCAGGTTCCCTCGTGGGAACTGTTCCTAGGGCCCACCGATTCGTTTTTTTTTTCTTGCCCGGAGCGCGCTCAGCTCTTGCCCGAGTCGCGCTCCCCTTTCTCGACCCCGTTGCGCCGCCCTTGCGGCCCCGATCCGCTGCCCTAGCGACCCGTCGCCTACCCCTGCGGCCCCGGTGCCGCCCTTGACGGCCCCGATCCGCCGCCCTAGCGGCCCCGTCGCGTACCCCGCGGCCCTCGCGCCGCCCTTCCTGGCCCCGAACCGCCGCCCTGCGACCCCGTCGCCTACCCCGCGGCCCTCGCGCCGCCCTTCCCGGCCCCGATTCGCCGCCCTGCGGCCTCGTCACCTACCCCGTGTCAAATTATAATCTTGTGTAGGCTATAGTGGGGTAGCTCATATGGGGTACACATTTCTAGGGTCGCATATTTGTATCACTTCCATTCCATAGTCATTCATTCTCGTTCTACTTTCCACATGGTATAGAGCAGGTTCCCCCCTGGGAACTGTGCCTAGGGCCCACCACATCGAGTTTTTTTTTCCTGCCTGAAGCGGGCTCAGTCTGAGTCGCGCTCCGGGCTCTCACTTCGTCGAGCCGCCCTAGCGGCCCCTACGCCCTAGCGGCCCCATCGCCCTAGTGGCCCCGCCGCCCGTCGATTAGGCCCCGCCGCCCGTCGATTAGGCCCCGCCGCCCTGATGGCCCCGCCGCCCTTCGATTCCGCCCCGCCGCCTCTATCGCTGCGGCCCCGCCGCCCTTCTCAGCGGCCTCGCCGCCCTTCACTGCAGCCTCGCCGCCTCACACTACGGCCCCGCCGCCCTTCGTTGCGGCCCCGCCGCCTCTCTCGCAGCGGCCCCGCCGCCCTTCTCAGCGGCTCCGCCGCCCTTCACTGCGGCCCCGCCGCCTCTCCCACTGCGGCCCCGCCGCCGTTCGTCGCGGCCCCGCCACCTCTCTCGCTGCGGCCCCGCCGCCCTTCTCTGCGGACCCGCCGCCACTCCTACTGCGGCCCCGCCACCTACCTTGCGGCCCCGCCGCCCTTCACCGCCCGCTCCGCCCGAGCCGCCCCAGCCGCCTGGCCGCTGAGGAGCCGAGCCGCCTGAGGAGCCGCCTGAGCCGCTGAGGAGCCGAGCAGCCCGAGCCGCCTGAGCTGCCCAAGCTGCCCGACCCTACTGAGCCGCCCGAGCCGCCCGAGCCGCTGAGGAACCGAGCCGCCCGAACCGCCCGAGTCGCTGAGGAGCCGAGCCGCCCAAGCCGCCCGAGCCGCCCGAGCCGCCCGAGCCGCCCGAGCCGCCCAAGCCGCCCGAGCCGCCCGAGGAGCCGAGCCGATGGTACCGCCGAGCCGCAGTTGCTGCTGAGCGGTCCGAGCAGCATTGTTGCCGTTTTTTTATGTGCTGCTCAGCTGCCCGCAACGCCCTGTCTGGTGAGAACAGCGCTTCTGTCACTGCACTGCCCCTGTCCTACAGTTGGTACTGCTAGTCTACTGTTGTCATGGCTACCCCTAGTGTCCTCGCTTTTGACGCTGAGGGTCGCGCCATTGATTTTGAGGTCTGGGTCGACGACCTGCAGCTGTATTTACAGTGCGACAGGGCAGACGGTCTCTCTCTCTTTGACCTCACCTCTGGCGCCTCTCTTGCCCCTGTTGCTGATGCTGAACCCACTGTTTGCTCCCAGTGGGCCACGCGCGATGCTGTTGCACGTCTTGCTGTGCGTCGCCACCTGCCTACCGCTGAGCGCGCGCACTTTAGTCAGTACAAGAGTGCTCAGACCTTGTACGACGCTGTAGTTGCGCGCTACTCTTCCCCTGCCACTGCTGCACTGAGCCGCCTCATGCTACCCTTCCTCTTCCCTGACCTTGCTGCCTTTCCCACAGTCGCTGACCTCATTACGCACCTCCGCACTAGTGACACTCGCTACCGCGCCGCGCTTCCTGCTGAGTTCTGCGCCAAGAACCACCCCCCCCCATGTACATCACTCTCTATTTTATAGTCACCCGCCTCCCTGACTCCCTTCGTGTAGTCAGGGACCACTTCCTCTCGGTCTGTCCCACCACTCTCACTGTTGACCTCTTAGAGAAGGCCCTCCTAGCAGCAGAGAAGAGCATCGTTGCTGTAGGAGCCTCTCGTGGTGACCCTCGCACCCCCATCTTTGAGGGGTGTTCTCCTTCCCCCCTTTTGCCCTCCGTCGCCAATGCCGCTGCGGCCGACCTCATTGGTCTTGAGTCGGTCGGTGCGGCGTCTGCCCCTAGCGGGAGACGCCGCTTTGGCAAGGGCAAGGGGGGCAAGGGTGCGGGTGGAGCTAGCGGGGGCGGTGGAGGTGGCAGTGGAGGCGGCGGAGGGAGTGGGGGTGGCGGTGGGAGTGGTGGCGGGGGTGGAGGTGTC